TCTTCGCAAAAATTATATTATAATCTTAATTCATTACATTTATATGTAAACTTATGATTGACAGTTTCAAATTATTCGCACTGCAATTATTTATAAGTCATTAATTTTTAAACATTTCTTTATTTTTAAAATATTTTCTATAATTAGATTTTTCAAACTTGAAAGTTTAATCTCTCTCATTATTATTATTACACAGAAGACATTGTACGAGTATAATACTCGCGTACATAAGTTTTTTTTTGCAAATACTGTTTCCTTTTTAATTTAAAACAAATTAAGTTAATTCATATTTTGTTGTAAGTAAAAGATTTTTACCCACAAAATGTAAGTTTTATTAAAAAATGTTTAACTATATCTGAGCTAATTACACTGTGTGACCGATTTCAACTTTTAAAATTTTCCAAAGGGCGCGTGGGTTTGATTGTGTCGGGAACACGGCCCACTATCATTTTCCCAAGAGATTTGGTAAAGTTAGATCGTAGAAGAATGGGGCATAAATTAGAAGTTATTAATTTCGAGGAGTATCAGTTGCGCTATTCTCATGGTTTTGAGATCAAATATTATCACAAATACGTATACACATACTCACACTCACACTTATGTGCGCGAGCGCGAACTTTGTTTTGCAAATACATGAGATAGCATTAGATAGTAGGATCTGTGAAGCTGGCACGACATTCTGTTGATATCAAAAAAATTACAACAGTTCCAGTAGCACTTTTCATAGTTCTACAGTTCTACCTAGAAATAAAAAATAGTTCCGCAGTTTTAATATAAAAAAACTAAAATTGGAAATATGGCGTGCTAACTACGCGAATCTGGCACGTCAGATTTCCTTTAAAGTACAAGAAAAAAATTAATATTTGCACTTTTAGTAACAGTTCCCGATAGTTCTACTAAAAACCAAGTAAGATATGCATTTTCAAAATAAAATAACAACATTTAACAATTTTTATACATCCTATATATAGAAAATGGCATAAAACTTCTAGAAAAAGTGACGTGCTGACTATTTCTATCAGTTTCAACGGCAGTTCTCATTAGTTCTCACAGAGTTCTATGCAATGCAATCATTTATAAACAGAGTTCCGGCCTCTACATATTTTTAATCAATTTTTTAATACCTGAGTCCAGCACGTCACTTTTTCTAGAAGTTTTATGCCATTTTCTATATATAGGATGTATAAAAATTGTTAAATGTTGTTATTTTATTTTGAAAATGCATATCTTAGTTGGTTTTTAGTAGAACTATCGGGAACTGTTGCTAAAAGTGCAAATATTAATTTTTTTCTCGTACTTTAGAGGAAATCTGACGTGCCAGATTCGCGTAGTTAGCACGCCATATTTCCAATTTTAGTTTTTTTATATTAAAACTGCGGAACTATTTTTTATTTCTAGGTAGAACTGTAGAACTATGAAAAGTACTATTGGAACTGTTGTAATTTTTTTGATATCGACAGAATGTCGTGCCAGCTTCACAGATCCTACTATCTAATGCTACTATCTCATGTATTTGCAAAACAAAGTTCGCGCTCGCGCGCATAAGTGTGAGTGTGAGTATGTGTATACGTATTTGTGATAATATTTGATCTCAAAACCATGAGAATAGCGCAACTGGTACTCCTCGAAATTAATAACTTCAAATTTATCCCCCATTCTTCTACGATCTAACTTTATCAAATCTCTTGGGAAAATGATAGTGGGCCGTGTTCCCGACACAATCAAACCCACGCGCCCTTTGGAAAATTTTTGCGGTCACACAATGTTATCGAAACATTTTATTTTATGCCTAAATACTCTTTATGAATAAACTCGTTCGATGAAATATATATACTCAAGCCCGTACTTTTACAACGCGTAAAATAAAATATGAAACGTTATTAAAATAATCTCACAAATTACTAAACTTTTTTAGGGGATATGTTTCATGCAACCGCGAATTAACGAGACTGTAATGACCATATACGATAGAACTCTCAAATGTATATGCGAATATTTCTGGTACCGTGTGAAATATTCATATATCACTCTACCTCGTATTCCCTACCTTAGTTTTTACTTGCATAATGTTACGTGACGTTATATTACACGTTTTTATCGTCTATGCGTCAATTATAATTATAAATACACATTCAAGATATTTCGCGTACTTCAGTACCGTTAAGTTGCAATAGCTGTTTCAGTTTGTGGTATTTCCTCAATCCCCTTTGTGCATCGGTTCAGTTACGATGACATACGAGCCTCCTTCCTGTTCTATGTTATACGTTAGATAGATCTTTTCTTATTTCACAATCGGATATATAAAATATTGGTATTTCCTTCAATACTTTCTATACTACTTTTGATTTCCCTTGAGGTAAAATGTATTCTCTTTACAAAAGCCTCAGGTATTGTAAATAATTCTTTTGTCGTTAGACAATATTTTTTAAGCTTTAGGAATAAATTAGTTTTGAAATAAGAAGACAAGTTTGATAATAGTACCCTCATTCAGATAAACTTTGTAGTTTGATAATTATTTTTTATGTATTGTCTTTTTTCAGATAAACGTTTCGAAATAATTTATAATAAAAGAAATGTAAAAATAAGTAATTATATAGCTACACTAACAATGATATAACACATGTTATTATCTTGTGTTGAAAAAGTATACATTATTTATAATATAATAATATTTTAATTTTAATAAGAGCATGCTAGAAAAAATTGGAAATACTGTAAATAATAAGTTATAGGAATAATAATGTTATTAATTACAATTCTATTCAATATTAACAGTTTGAAGAAATTACAGCATGATGGGAATTTGTTAAAATATTATAGAACAAGGAGGAGAGTCGTTTTTATCGATTTATCTCTAATTATATTATATATATAATTATATGTATATATAATTAGTCTCCTATCTAAATCCAAATATCTAAAATAATATGCTTCGATATATCTCCCGTCGGCTTTATTGAAATTTCTATTGGTTATAAATACGTAACTCTTACATATTGCGATATACTTTCGGGATACTAACACGTTCAATGTAATTTATTTGATTAATTATGCACTTGCTATATATGAACGATATTAACTTAAAAATGATTGAAACAAAGCGCGCAATTAAAAACTTCCACAAAATTAATTCCACGCCGATCTTACTTTAAAATAATTCCAAGTCGAATATTACCAAAATATTTAACGTGACATCTAAGAATTTGTTAAAAAGCAATGACATTCACGTTAAGCAAAATGTTGTTGCACATACAGAATCGGAAATGAAGTCTTTAAACTTCGAAGTGTTTCCAAACAAAATATTAAAATACAGATTGTACAATTTATTACAGTAGCTCGTCAGTTTATAAGCTTTAAAAGAAAAGCGCGTATATCGGATAATATAGTTAACAGAGAGGTAGCAAAAAAGGTACTTTGTGCTTTGACTATTATGTATCCTATAATTTTTTTGCAAACGAATTTCTTTTTACACGACGGCAGTACTCGCGACTGAAGCTTTAACATTAATAAAATATTTGCGCGCAATGTGCATCGTGTGTGTATTACGAAACAAAATTTTAATACCTTTGCTATGGGATTTTTTAATTGGTCATAAAGCATATTTAAGCACAGTGCACCTCTCCTTCCATAATTTTTATATCTTAGAGTGAAACGGTATTGATATTAATTCTTGTTACAAATATCGCAAAACGTTTTTCTTAATTATATGATGTATAATTACTTGCTAATTATACATAATTATTTTAAAGGATCATTAATTTTTTGATAATTATTCGTTATTTAAATAATAGATATATCTCGATTCATTGCTTAAATAATGAAAAAGAATACATTCCTAAAGGATTGTATTTTTTTAGATTGACGTTTCTGATTTCATTTTATTTCCATATTACAAACTTCTCAGATGCTCGTTGGAAGAAGTTTTTTGAATTTTTCGAGCGTTTTGAGGGAAATTTGTACTTTAAAATTATACTAAAAGTTATTTTGTAAAGAAACGCATTTTTAAATTGGCAGATTTTTATACGATTAATTACTGTGCACGCGCACGTGTGTAGTTAAATTATGAGTTAACATATATGTCCGAAAAGCGATATGTGTTTTATATGTAAATTATACATTTCTTGTTAAATAAACTTTTTTCCATATACAGTAAAATTACATGTCGTTTTCCATATATCTACACATATTACACTTTTTGGAATGTAAAAACAATCGCAGCAAAACGTTACATACATATATGTATAATACTCTAATAATGTAATGTTTTACTTGAAATCAGGAATATTTACATGAAGATATATGAGAGTTCATCCATTCGTTGAAAACAATTACATATTTAAACATCAATTTCACATCCACACGTTAATATATATACGTATCTATATACAAGGGATATTTCATATTCCAAAAAAATGTATATCGATAGCAAAAAACTTTTTGTGTTTGCATTTTTCTTAATAAAAATTGAATAAGTTATTTAATTATTTTACAATTTCCATATAAAAACTTACATTATCTTAATGTGAAAAGATTAGAGATTTTATCATGATACTTAACATTTTCTATTATTTATTTGCCAAGAGAAACTTAATTAAAAAATTTTAATTTTTTTCTCTCAAATTTAATATTTAATAATAATTATAATACTTTTTTGTGTTATCGATACACATACTTTTTGGTATAAATCTTATGAAGTCGATTTGTATCTTTTCGAACTTCGAGCTAGACTTCCTCTGAAACTAGCCATTTTATCTACTTATCACGCTTGCTTTTCATTCCGTGGAGCAAGACGGAGCAAGCAGTAAAAGCTAATCCGTTATTATGTAGATATGGAAATACTACTTGTTTCCTTCCAAATCGCGAACGTCGGCTCGAGTCTTACCTTAACGCACTTGATAAAAAAAAAACTCGATTGCTCGTTGCTGCGCTTCTTCGCAATAATCGGGACCAGCGGACTCCTGGTTGTGAATGAAACTCGTTTCTCTGTCAAGACAGCAGATTTAGGAGATGTTGCAGTCATCGGCACGGGCATCTCTGATCTGCTGTTTCGTTTTTCTTGAAGTGCGCCTGATCAGGCTGCGACTACGTGGTTTGCTCTTTACCTCCTCGGTAACGCTTACGACGCTAGGACCCTGAGCCGCGACCACTTGTTGGAGATTCCCACCGGGACCCGCGCTGCCGGTTCTGCCGCTAGGGCTGCCGGACCTTCCATTAATAATAAAAGAATAACAGATGAGAGAATTAGAAGTATCTACATTAAGAAAAAATGGTTTGTTTGTCTAAATTAATTTGGTTCGTCTTTATGTCTTTTAGTGAAGAATGTATGTATTTTAGTCATATTTGTTTTAGTCACATTTATTTAAGTCAATTACAATACAATTTTGTAATTATTATGCAATGAAAGAAAATTATTTATTCGATAAAATTAATTATTCAATTGACTAAATTAATTTAATGTATCTTTATTTCTTTCGTTGGAAAATGTGTGTATTATATATATATATATATACACAATATATACATTCTTCAATGAAAAAAAAACAAATTAAATTAATTTAGTCAAATAAACAATTTTTTCAATGTAATTACAAAATTGTAGCTAACTTGATTTAACGCTGTATCTGTTTTTTCTTCGAATTTGTGGTGTTCAGTTATGTACAGTATTCCTTTACGTCGTATTATTATTGTTTAGATAAAGAATCCTTTTATAATATTAATAATTTATATTTCGTATTAATTTTTTTATTAATTTATATCTCTGAGAAAAAACAAGATTGTTACGATTTAAGAAGAGAAGCTTTCCAAAAGGAAATTTTAAGTAAAGGACAGTAAATAATTAGAAGGATGTAAATATTATTTAAGATTTGAAAGTAATAATAGCCCCCTCTAGCGCTCTATTGAACTACGCGTAATTAATTATATAAGTTCAATAGATGGAGTTATAAAGCGAAAGTAAATATTACGACAGCCTTTTGTTAAGATATTAAAATATAAAATTTGAGTTCGGATATTTTTTTAAGTTAAAGAAAGCTGAAGAGAAATGCATTTATATGTATACACATACAATTTGAAATTATTTTTTTTTAATTATGATTTCTTAAAATATACGTAAATAAAAAAATTCTTTTTTCAATTATTGGAAACATATATACGCATATAATTTCTATATACCTATACAATAATAAATAATTTATTAGGACCATATAATGTAAATATACAATAAATAAGAAGCTATACTGGTCGAAGCTGGACCTTAAGTGCTTTAAATAATTTCGTGTGAAATTGGTGCATTAAATAATTTCATGTAAAACTCGATGGTCTACCTAAAGACATAGGACGTTCGCACGGAATACTAAAGATCCGAGTTCGATTCCCAACTGTGGTGATAGATATTTTTCACGATAAATTTATTTACATATTTTCAATACATTAAGATCTTCTTAAAATTATTGAGCTTTAAATTATTACATTGTTAATCAGTTTAATTTGTGATATTATTATAATAGTTTAGTTCCGCTTCTAATTTCGGAAAACCAATTCGAGAGACTACAAACGTGGTACATACAATATAAATGAAATTATTCAAAGCACTCAAGGTCCAGCTTCGGAACAGGCATTATTTCTTATTTATCCTATATAATGAAATTATTATAATACAAGAAACACTACACAATATGTATGTACGAATTTTTATGAAATTTTTATTTTTGGAAGTATTAAAATGATGAATAGCAATATCATGTTACTAGTAATTGTCAATGTTTTAATGACAAAAATAGAATGTTTATGAAAAATTGAAAATCGAAAAAAGTATGAAAAAATAATACTATTCAACATTATTTTGCAACATGAATGTGAAAATGAAATTGACAAAATATTGCAATGTGGCAGGAAGATTATAAAATGAAGAAGATAATAATCTCATTGTTATATTATATTTTGTTAATTTTACATTACTTTTTGGTTTAGTATGATCCGATTATATTATGTAAATATAAAAGCACTTACTTTTTACACAATGCAGTATTAACATGGAACAAAATTCCTTTTTCATACATTATGTAAGAGAAAAACTATTTTCAAATTTAACATTGGGTGAACAATAAAGATAAAATGATACACGAAGGCACCCTGGAGTCTTACATGCAAAAAAAGAGAAATTTATTTTTGGATTGATCATAGACGACTCGCGAAAAATGATCACGCCGTAGTACACACAAAGTTTTTCCATGATACAACAAATGCATAGAAAAAAATGTCGATTTTTTTTTAAATAATCAAAATGTAAGAAATTCAAAAAATTATTTTTAGAATTTTGAACTTTGTTTTTCTATTTCTTTTAAAATAGGGAAACTTACTTTTGGACTAACCCTCATAAAAGTAATAGCAAAAAAAATTCAGCAATGCAAAACACAAGTTCGAGTAAAACACTATCGAATATAAATAATAATGTTCAAGAGACGATTGAAACGATATTGAAACTGTGTTGAAAACGATATTTAATGTTTCAATTATGTTCATATTTGATCTACTTTGATATTAATAATTACAGCAACATTGAAGTGCATTGAAAATCTTTTAGATTGAATACCTGTTTCGTTAATATGTACAGCTGATAGATAAAACTAAATGGCGGGTTTGTGAATACGATTAAAGTCGTTGATTAAGAAATTATTTTTATATATATTAAAGAAGTTACACCGTAATCTAGTTTGGTACGTGTGTTATCACTATAACGTAATCCAATAAGTTTCTTTTCGGATTTTTATTGATTTTTATTAATACTAGCCTTTTCCTGCGCGCGCTACGCGCGCGATTCAGAATTATAGGGGATACACAAACAAATCTGGAAAAGTCCAAACTGGTTTGTTAATCCCACTAAAATTACAACGTAGGTTCTTTCTTTACTTAATTTTTTAAAAAATTTAAGCATTTATACATCCTTGAAAATTTTTTCCGGATTTGTCTAATTTATGAGATTATCATATGTTTTTTCCTTTTTTTAGTTTTAATTAATTGTCTTCATTTTAAATTATTGATTTTCGTATTTTTCTTATTTTTTTATTTTTACCCGCTTTTTGAAATAGTCATGAAGATGATGATTTTCGTCTTCTTTTAATCTTATTCAGTTGTTCTTCATTTTTTTCGACATTTTTCATTCGTATTTTTTCGAAAAAATCATTACTTTAGTCAAATGAATTCCCAAGCAATCGATACGAACTCGAAAAATGATTACTTTTTTGAACTTCGAAAAATAATAACTTGGGGATGTTACAATCTTTTTTTGTGTATAACTTATTTTTTGAGGATGGACAAATAAAAATAATGGGTGGACAAACGTGGACAAACAGTGGACAAAAAAATGCAATAATGATTTTACCAATATTCGCATTTAGAGATTCCAACTTCACAGAGCTGCTTTGTGAAGTTCGCACCTTAAATGCGAATATTGGTAAAATCATTATTGCATTCGTTTGTCCACAGTTTGTCCACGTTTGTCCACACTCTAAAAAAAAGTTATACTCAAAAAAAATTGTAACACCCCCAAGTGGTTATTTTCCACTACTACGAAAAATATAATAAACATAGGGTGGACAAACGAAAATAATGGGTGGACAAACGTGGACAAACAGTGGACAAACGAATGCAATAATGATATTACCACTATTCGCATTTAGAGAATCCAACTTCATAGAGCTGCTTTGTGAAGTTGGCATCTTAAATGCGAATATTGGTAAAATCATTATTGCATTCGTTTGTCCACTGTTTGTCCACGTTTGTCCACCCATTATTTTCGTTTGTCCACCCTATGTTTGTATTTTCCTAATTTTGATCACGGATTCGAAATCAGCGTCCGCGTAAGCCTCCTTAATCCAAATTTCGCCGAAATCGGAAAACCTTTAAGATTTTCGCATCTTTTCCGTCCGCCATATTGGTCTTTTTGCCAATTATTATCTCGTTAACTATTGCGAAAATTGCAAAACGGAAGAGAACTTTTCGTCTCAGTCCGCTCTACCTATTCATGAAATATTTTCCGGATAGTCGGGACACCCTGTATATGGGATATGTCAAATCCTCTGACGCACGCGCGTTTATTGTGAGTATATACATTGGATATCAAAATGTGTTTTCTGAAAACCTTTAGAATTACAATAATATTTTTAACCGTCAATTTTAATTTTTTAAGTTTTGAATTCGATTTCGAAAACAGCGACCACTAATTCCATTTGATTTTTAAACACGGATTCATAACAAACGATCGCAATATACCCCTTATACCAAATTTCTCAAACAACGAAGAATATCTATTAATGATTTCTTTTTCATTTCCATCAACCATTTTGGATCAACTATTTCGATCTTTCAATATTTAAATACAGATTCGTAGCTACATACGACCCCTAAATCTCCAATTTACTATATTTCACCAAAATCGAACAATCTTTTGAATTTTCGTTACATTTCCGTCCGCTAGGTATATTGGATCAACTTTTTCTAACTTTCGATTTTTGAGTACGGATTCGTAATTATCGACCACGAATACCCCCGAATACGAAATTACACCAAAATCGAAAAATCTTAAGTTTTCCATTAATTTTACGTCCGCTATATTGGATCCACCAGTTCGATTTTCCAATTTTTGAGTTCAGATTCGTAATTATCGACCCCGAATACCCCCGTATACGAAACCACACCAAAGTGGAAAAATCTTTAAAATTTCCGTTAATTTTACGTCCGCCATATTGGATCAACCAGTTCGAATTTTCAATTTTCGAGTACCTAGATTCGAAATATTCGACCCCAAAAACCCCTGTATACGGAACCACATCAAAATCAGAGAATACCAACAGCCTCAACGAATAGAGGCTTCAAAAAAGCGTGAACGCCAATTTTAAGATATGATTAAAGGTAATGAATTATTTAAACATCTATATAAAATTTAATTTTTACAATTTTTTTTGTAGTAAAAGTATTCAATATTTTTTAAATAAAGAGAACTATTAATTATAAATAATTAATGGGTGATAATTTATCCATTGTTTATTATTTATACATAATAGTTTCCCTACGCGTTCGTAATTTTTATTATTTTTAATAATGTTTATTACGTTGATTTGCTTCTAAACCCATATTCTCACCCTATATTTGACGCGAAACTTGCCTCTCACAATTCTCAGTTCTCATTTACGTCGGATGCAATCTTCATTTTAAGTCTGCTTGCGCACCAACTATCTGGATTAAATAACCCTGACTTAGCGATTCACTGTTTCGAGATTACGATTCTATCTAATAGGTATGATGTGAAAAATTACTTAATCACATCGTAATTAATGCTAAGTAACAACCTTTCAACAAATAAACCTTAAAGTCACATTCGATATTGTTATTATAGCACATGTACAATTTATATATATAAATTATTATTATTATTATTTGTGATATATCACAAATGGATTTATTGGAATAATTTTTTCTTAAAAAAGAAAACGAATAAAGGTCAACCCTAGAAATTCTTAATGTATTTCTTTATGTATGATATAAAATATCTTGGTAAACTAAGTTTCAAATTAAAAATTTATTCTGTTAAAAATGAGACGCACTACACATTTTCTTATAATATAGTTTATAATTTGAAAATTTTTCGTCTTGGTTGATATCTTTCTTTAAAAAAAATTGAAAAGTTCACTCTTAAAAGATTTAAATTTTTTTTACTGTATATTATATAATATATATTTTATTATATATAATATTAAAATATATATGAAAAATATATATGCGTTCTTGCTCAATGACTTTCATTCGTAGGAAATAACGTTGTTAGTGTTACCATACCTGCGTGACCCGTACGCCGAACATCTTCTCCTGAGCCCCGACTGCTCGACCTCGCCCGTGGGATTCTTCGGTACGATCTTGGAAAGCGTGACGAAACATCTGAATACGTCCTTAATGTTATAGTCGTCCTTTGCCGAGCACTCCATCACCTTAGCGCGAAGTTTCGGCAATTCGCAAAATAGCCACTCGCTCACGTCCTCGATTGGCACTTCTCTTCGCGCTGGCGCTAGGTCAAGCTTGTTCCCGGCGATAACTATGGGTACTTCCTGTTAGAAAGAAAATATATTTTAGAGAAATATATTTAAGAAAATATATACTCTGTTTTTCTGCATTCTAAAAAATGGTAGGAATTTAACATTCCTGGTGTGTAACACGTCCACGCAGTAGCTATACAATTCTCACCATGTTGATGTTACATTATAATATAACAGCGGCATTAATAATATAACAGCGGCTTTAAAATCCCTGGTGTTTATATCAACACTATTACAGTATGAATTTAACAAGTTTCATGGGGGTGTGGAAATTTAAAATCCATAACGTTAAATCCACACTAGGTTGGTTTTAATCTAACACCAATATAGTGAAAATTATACAGACACCGCATGGTGTTAAGTTCACGCCGTTATTTTTTATAGAATGTACTAAAGTATAACTGTAATAAAATCGATTTGAAAAAATGTCGCATGTAATGCTTTTTCATCAGCTTTAGATATTGTGCAAAGTTATAAATATTGAGAACAGTAAATTAATATTTCATAGATACTTTAAATGATAGAGAAGGAATTAATTTTAATTGTAGATTGATAAGAATAACTGCTGAATATTCGCACGATAAATTCTACGAGACAAATCACGAGCAAATTAATGTGAATAAGCCATATATACCTGAAAGTCGGGTCGTTGTTCTCTTACTTCTTCGAAGCAACGTTTCACGCACTCGAAACTTGGTAACGATGATGTCGCGTATACGAGTAGAAATGCGTGGGCGGTGGCTATGCTCAACCGCCTCATCGCAGGAAACTGCAAGTCGCCTACAGAAATAAAATCAAAACTTATTTCATTTAATAAATGTTTATGAGAAAAATCTTCCTACGCGTTTGAAAAAATCGTGCATTGTTGCTTCGCGTAATGTATACGAAGTAATCCTTAGAAAATCTGAAATAACTTCTTATTCACTTTTTTCCTCTTATTTCTCTTATTTTCTTCTCTCTGTTTTTCTTATTAAAAGATACGTCGAAACGCGTTCGAAACTGACAACTATTTATATCATGATATTTTTACAAATGTTGCTAAAAAACATGCTGTTATTTCTGATAAATTTTTGCTACGTACGAAAAATAAGTCATTCTATTTATTTATGATGCGTATGTGAGGCGCATTTATCTCGCTGTTTTTTCCGATACAAACTCCGTTGGTCTCTTGCTAAAAAGTTATCGGGATATATCTTTGCGCAATCTCGATTAGATCAGGATGCCTTGGACGAACACATTTCTGTAGAGCTGTATTGAGCACTACTGAGTTACGTTTATTTGATACGCGATTCCGGCAAGAGAGAGATCCAAGCTTCTTTCGTTTTCAATCAAAACATTCAGTATTCCGTTTCATCATATTGAGAATGTGTACGTAGTATCACGTATCATTTAATATTTTTCGTTATATTGCATAGCAGATTCGATGAGGGAAACATTTCACATTTTAAGAAAAAGTGGCTTTTAAAAAAATATATAAGAATTAATTTTTCACATATATGAGACTTATTATTTTTCTTGTTATAAATTTATGAACAGCAGATCCGTAAATATACGAAATTTTAAAATGATGAATTAATTAATAACAACGAGATTACAATTTAAGTGTATAATATAGCAGTTAATTAAAATCAACTCGATTAACTTAAGTATTGAATCATTGCATAAGTGCAGCATAAAAACGATGCGTTATTACATTAAAGTGATATGATCCTTTAATAAAAGCATTACTATAGTTTTTGCAAAATAATATTAGTAGTTTAGCGAACTCAACAGTTAAGTGAACGCTTACCGTTATTGGTGTATTCTTTTAGATCATCAATCTAGAATTTTAGATCTAGAAGAATACATCAATAGCAGCGAGCGTTTCATTCAACTTCTGTTGAACTGAAAGAAGGGAAAAAGGGAATGGTGAAAGAGACGTTGATCTTACCTGCGGTATCCAGAAGGTCGACTTTAAGCGTCAGAGTACCAAGAACGCATTCTCGCGAGTACAGATCCTCCACGGTGGGCCGGTATCGCTCGCTGAAACCCTGACCGAGTAGTCGGCGTATAATGGCACTTTTGCCGACCCCGGCGCCGCCGAGCACCACCAGCCTGATCCTTTCGAGATCGGCCATATTTTCCGGCCGGTCGCACCCTGGTGACTTGGAGTACGACCGTGAGAATGTCGCTGTCTCAGGATGGCATCACCCAGGAGGTCGATCGGAGTCCCGTCCACCTTCTGGAAATCCAATACGGTCGCCTTATCCGTCCCGCCACCCGCGTCCGTCAAAGTGTTCCTCCTTCGTCCGAAGGATACTAATTCGATTCCCCGCGGCTATTCCTGACCGCGGTTAGAAACGAGTCGGTGGTAGTTCCTCGAGATCGATCAGATCGCGATCGCTTCGAAACGATCACCCAAGTTTTTCCACCCAACGACGTCGCACGTCACCGACTTCTCCATTCACTTACCCCGCTTACGTTGCGCTCTCGCGGGAACTCCCATTTTCCTCGGGGAAATCGCAGCCATTCGCTCGCTCCGTGATTCGAGTTGAAATTCCTCTGTTGAAAGATGACAAACTGTTTTATTATCACTTATTTACGCACGTGCCGCGAATATGAGATTTCATTGGCAATATGAAATTATGAAATCCAGTGTAACGCTATTTGGGACCACCGAGTGGACTGGAAATTGAAGTATTACTATGGGGACACACATTCTCAGAGCTAATTGGAATATTCCGTTTAGAACAGCGACTTTTATTGAGGCCATATAGCTTTCATGCTTTATGTTAAGAAATCCGATATGTCGGTTATAAATATCGAAGCAGAAAGTCTCGATGATTTTTTAGGTCAGTAAGCAAACGAAATATATTACAATGATTAAAGTATTTTTTTCTCAATATCTAATGTTAACATCAATAGAAAAGGATTAGAATTAACAGCATAATGAACCTCTCTCTCTCTCTCTTCTCTCTAAAATTAATTATTATAATCGCTAATAAAGCTAATATTCTTTCAAGACATCAATATCTGTACATATACTCTATATTTATTATTTTCAGATTTAATCGATTATTACGAGAATTAATTTAAAAAAAATGTATTTATATCAGATTATAGTAATATTTGTGAAATAAATTTTAACAGAAAATATTTTGCAATCAACGAGTATACAATTCCATAATAAAAATTAAACAGTTATAGTTCAATACTTAACTTATGCACTTTAAAGTATTGCAAATATTTTTGCATTATCATAAAAATTATTTGTAAACGAAATATGTATTAAATTGTGAACGTTTTAATTACTTCAATTGCGATCAAAGAGATAGACTAAACTAAAATTATATATTTCCATACAAGATGAAGTTATCCACGGGAAACTCAGAAATATTGTGAAATCGAGCGGCGGAAATGTGCAAACGAGTAGCTGCTGCACGCTAAAGATTTTTTGCACCTTTTTTGCGACAAACACACATATAAAAAATAAATACAAAATAATTTGTCCGAATGAAACATATTAATATGCCGTTATATTGAAATGGAACTATCGGTATGTATATGTCTGCTATATATTAAATTTCAATTTCAAGAATACTCTTTTCCACATCTCGATCAATCTCTATCATTTTTAAACTTACGTTATCATTTTGTTTATTCTGTTTTCTCATTTTGTTATCTTTATTAGTTTTTATTAATTAAAGAATGCGCGTTTAATTGATAATAAGTACGATTTTAATTGTATAATGAATTATAACAATTTTAATAAAATTACATTTTCTAATTAAGATAGATATTATCCTTTTGTGTCATTATATATAATAATAAAGTCTTTATTATATGGAAAATATTTTGTTATATATCCATATTTATAATATTATAAGTGGAAGTATTGATAAACAATAATGTTAATTTTAATTTACGCGCGCGCGTAAACCATTTCGCATATCTTCTAGGAAAAGTTGTATTGATATTGAAGAGATTAATTATATTCAGATATATATATATTTTTTTAATTTACATATTACATATTAATTAATAACGATACACTTTAGCATTTATCATTAGAGATTTCCATGAGTAATGGAAAATACATTCGTGGAAATCTATTTTTGATGAAAATTTGCATGGATTTGTGTCTAACTAGTTATTACATTTTATGTTTAAATAGTTATTAAAAGATAATTAATTACACTGATTAATTCAAACGCGTAAGATTTTACATTTGTATGTATTAACGAACTACGGCCAAATGCGAATTATATATTAATACTTTTGATTGTTATTACAAAAAAATTTTCCTAGTTGCAGATTTGAAAAAATTACTTTTTACTTAAAGATATCATCTTTTTTTTATAAATTAATTATAATATTTAAATATTTTTAAACATACACTTATACTTAACAAAATTAAAGCATCACCTGTTCCACGCTGCAAAAATAGATTTTGAGATAGAATAATTTCGTCAAAAATCATCGTATCGAGATTTTAAAAAAATCTCTGCTTTTTAAACTAGTACGTCAAAAAACGGTATTACTGATATTTCATAAAGTTACACAAATATAAATAAAGATGTATCAGATTTTAAAATTTTTTACAAAATTTGCGAAGAGATCCACGGCGTGAATTAAAAATTGTGCATAAAAGCGGTTTACAGCTTTCGAAAGAGTGAATCTTTATCTTTACTTTGCTTTTCGAAAAATCTCGATATGACGATTTTTGACGAAGTTATTCTATCTAGAAATTTATCTACTTTTTCAGAGTGAAACAGGTGATGCTTTAATTTGATTGAGTAGAGTATTTTAATTAAACTGTAGAGAGAGGGAGAGAGAGAGAGAGAGACAACAATATCATTTCAGTAGTTTTCCTCCCGATTCATTCAACTTCTATGAATGCAAAATTTCTCTTTCGATGAAAATTTATATGTAGGATTTAGGTTAATTTTGTTTAATCTTATCTCGCATGAGCCAGACACAGAGTGGATGGGATGTGTAATGAAATTTTACCGAGCAGCACCGGTGGTATTTACAATCCGCGCGAGATGAAAAAGCATGTTGTCGCTGTCGCGGCGATGCGACGAGACGTGATCGTAATTTACTCTGCATCCTACATCCGCGAAGGGATTATGAAAGAGAAAGAAGAGAGCGCGTACCTCGCTTCTGCCCGATTTATGCTGTTGGATATATCTCTTCGCGTTCTTTCTGTCTCAGTTCTTTCACCTTTTTCTTGTTCGCTATCAACAAGACCCGCAACCCTTCCGGTAAGAGTCACAGGTGGCTGTCGGCGACTTCTTTTTTCTACTTCGACTGCCTTTGTGGGAGTCTCCACAGGATTAAGACGTCGCTAAATACGCCGGTATCGGTCGTCGACAGCAGACTCTGTTTTATGAAATAAAGCCTTAATCATTAAGCTTATTAATTGTAAGCGTCACTGTTGACGCCACAGTACGCAGAGCGTTACCGCGTTAACCGCGTTGTTCGAAGCTTTTCCCACAAATACCACGTCGTGCGGTTCATGTATGCCCTATTTTCATTTAATTAACTTGACAGATACCGCGCGTTACTTAGTTTTATAAGATTTTATCGCAATGTATATTTATTACAATCTCTCCATTTTCGATGTTTTTGGTCATTGTGTTGTATTAATTTCGCCTTTCTGCTTTTAATGCTTTCAACAAATTGGAGTCATTTCTACGTTACTGAGGATATAAAATGGAAATCAAGATAATGTACTGGATTTTGAAAAGAGAGTATGCGGTTTATCGTTATTAATTTTAAATGAGTGGCAGATATAGCGAAGATTGTAAAGAGCTTAGATCTTCTGGAAATAGAAAATGTGTCAAGTTTGTGAGACAAATTGCAATAAAAGAATAATACAAACATGCATAGCCAAGGGAAAGCAAGGCACGGCCACTCCCCTAAATCTTCCAGAATAAAAATGATTACAAAATAATTACAAATTTACAGTAAAATAATTTTAAAATTCATTAATATATTCATCAGTTTACTATTTTATTAAAAAAATAAAATAAATCATTATAAATTAAATATATATAATTTATTTGTAGTAATTAAAAATAATATAAAATAAAAGAAGTTCAATAATTCATACAACTCGACTACTCTTCTCCCCCGAAAGAGACACATATTTAATTCATTATAATTTATTTTTTCTTAAATTTGTAAACTAATTTATATAACAAAAGTCTCAATTCTAATTAGTGCCCCTCCACCCCCTAAATAACATTTTAGCTACGCCTAAGTATACAAATAAAAAGTAAACGATATCATTATACTTGCAATTATGCTTCGCGTAAGTAGTAGCTTTTACGTTTCCTTTTCATTTATCTATGTCCCGCGTTAGAGTTGAAAATCCTGCGTCAGCGTCTGAATATTGATTCTGCAATGAAAAATCAATAATAAGTTAGCGAAATGTTGAAATTAATGTGATTAGGGTCATTATTAAATTTATAAAACAAGATAATCATTAAATTATTAAATTTATGTATATAGTGTCAATCTTCTGTACGAATCATAGAATTAGCATCGCCTAATTCTTTTTCAAACTAATTAAAATCGGGTAAACCGAGCGAGTGGGATAAATTGTGCAATCCGTCTATCTCAAGTGCTGAGAGAAACTGGAATCTGCAGCATCTCTGAGCTATTAGAATAATTATTCGCGTCATTAATGTTTCTCGAGATTCTCCCGCATTCATATACGCATTATATCCGTTGAATTCCAATTGCACGAAGCGTATTTAACATATATCAACGATGCTGGTACATGTTCTTAATCTCTAATATTTTTGTAAATATAGTTTGGAATAATGTCAGATCGAATTTTTATACATTCTTGCAATTATATGTTAGACATTTATAAATCTATATCAACTACAATAATTATGAATAAAGAGAATTTAATTTTTCGTAATTTGCAGATTTATAGCTTGGAATAAAATTTGAAATAAAAATTACAGATTTCATTAGGTTTAATTTATTATATCTAGTTACTATAATGTACCAATGCAAATTTATTCTTGTATGATTATTTTCCGCATTATGAAAATTTTGTTATTGTTGGATGGCTGCTGAGGGAACTGTAACATCCTTTATATGATTCTCCAGAGATAGAAAT